TGAGTATCCATAGCAAGTTCCTTAAAACTCAGAGTATTCTTCCCAGAATAACAGATTATACAACAAAATGATGCCATCCAAAAACATAATCTATGATTATTGCTTACTTTTAACATTATTTCTTGAAATGAAAAGTGTGTCTGTTTATCTATTAGCTTTAAAATCCTTCTTTGACCATCGGGATTAAGGGACATTTTATCGTTATTTAGTCAGGAGCATCCTTGTGCCAAGGGGACTCAATTTTGTATAATTGGCGGATATGACCCCCTAGGGGTTAGGGGTTGGGCTCTGTTTGAAGTTTGTTCTTGCTATATCTCTAGTACTGGATGGATCTTTCTGAAATTTCATATGACAGCACCTACCATGGAGTGGTATATCTTTACTTCATACCAATTATTTTAAACATATTCAGGTGAGCGATACAGGCCCTCTGGGCCTCTTGCTTGTTTTTGACATAATATTTTTCTATTTACTATGAAGAGGTACATTGTATATTTTTTGGAAAAAATCTGTTTCATATTTACTAATTCAAGGTGGGTAGGGACAGGTTGTGTATCTAGTGTATGTGTGTACACCATCTCATGTATGTGTGTACACCATCTAGTGTATGTGTGTACACCATATAGTGATGTGTGTACACCATGTAGTGTATGTGTGTACACCATCTAGTGTATGTGTGTACACCATGTAGTGATGTGTGTACACCATGTAGTGTATGTGTGTACACCATGTAGTGTATGTGTGTACACCATGTAGTGTATGTGTGTACACCATCTTGTGTATGTGTCTACACCATCTAGTGTATGTGTGTACACCATCTCGTGTATGTGTATACACCATGTAGTGTATGTGTGTACACCATGTCGTGTCTGTGTGTACACCATGTAGTGTATGTGTGTACACCATCTCGTGTATGGGTCTACACCATCTCGTGTATGTGTCTACACCATCTAGTGTATGTGTGTACCCCATGTAGTGATGTGTGTACACCATCTAGTGTATGCGTGTACACCATCTAGTGTATTTGTGTACACCATCTAGTGTATATGTGTACACCATCTAGTGTATGTGTGTACCCCATGTAGTGATGTGTGTACACCATCTAGTGTATTTGTGTACACCATCTCGTGTATTTGTGTACACCATCTAGTGAATGTGTGTACACCATATAGTGATGTGTGTACCCCATGTAGTGTATGTGTGTACACCATGTCGTGTCTGTGTGTACACCATGTAGTGTATGTGTGTCCACCATGTAGTGTATGTGTGTACACCATCTCGTGTATGCGTGTACACCATGTAGTGATGTGTGTACACCATCTAGTGTATTTCTGTACACGATCTCGTGTATGTGTATACACCATGTAGTGTATGTGTGTACACCATCTAGTGTATGTGTTTACATCTTGTAGTGTATGTGTGCACACCATCTCGTGTATGTGTGTACACCATGTAGTGATGTGTGTACACCATCTAGTGTATGTGTGTACACCATGTAGTGATGTGTGCACACCATGTAGTGATGTGTGCACACCATGTAGTGATGTGTGTACACCATCTAGTGTATGTGTGTACACCATCTAGTGTATGTGTGTACACCATCAAGAACTGCACGGAACAATCTTTCTCAAATGCCATATGTAGGATTAATTTAATCCTTACTTGTGGAAGTGAAATTTTCAGACTGGCCAAAAGAGTAGATAGCTGCCAGGTAGCCATTTTGGATTTTGAAAGTAAGCTCGTTTTGCTGTTTCTCAGAAAGTCCTAGAGAGAGCTCAAGCTCGTTCCTGTACATGTACATCCCTTTTTGTGCATGGTCAGTTATGGAAACAAACATACGAACGAGAAGTCTGCCAGGCGGTCATGTGGACAGTTGGTTATCGCTATTTCTCAGAAAGTGTTAGTTTTTTCAGAATTATTATCTTGGCCTCCCTTGACTTGGTTCTTAGTTATGCATATTTCTGTTTCAGTCTGATGGAAAAAAGATGACCATCAGGAATACATCGTTGATATCACCATTGAATATTGTTACAATGTATCGTTATTTCTCAGAAATTAAAATACAGATCTTTCTCAAATTCCATACATCGGTTGTTCTGTATGTGACCTTGTTTTCATAATTCATTGCGCGTTTCAATCTACTGAACAGACGAAAAATATGGTTGCTATAAGGTAGGACAGATGGCAACCTCACTTTGGGAGGAGAATGTCAAACACAGCAGCATTACGTTTTCAAAACTTAACACAAGATCGATTTACAGTTAACATAACTCAATCCAACAGACGTCCTTAAATGACCTTAGCTGTTTATAAGACTCAATCCAACAGACGTCCTTAAATGACCCTAGCTGTTAATAAGACTGAATCCAACAGACGTCCTTAAATTACCCTAGCTGTTAATAAGACTCAATCCAACAGACGTCCTTAAATAACCTTAGCTGTTAATAAGACTCAATCCAACAAACGTCCTTAAATGACCCTAGCTGTTAATAAGACTCAATCCAACAGACGTCCTTAAATGACACTAGCTGTTAATAAGACTCAATCCAACAGACGTCCTTAAATGATCCTAGCTGTTAAGGTTAAACAAAATTAAACCAAACCAATCCAACAGACGTCCTTAAATGATCCTAACTGTTAATAAGACTAAATCCAACAGACGTCCTTAAATGATCCTAGCTGTTAATGTTAAACAAAATTAAACCAAACCAATCCAACAGACGTCCTTAAATGACACTAGCTGGTAATTAGACTCAATCCAACAGACGTCCTTAAATGATCCTAGCTGTAAAGGTTAAACAAAATTAAACCAAACCAATCCAACAGACTTCCTTAAATGACCTTAGCTGTTAATAAGACGTTAAACAAAATTTAACCAAACCAATCCAACAGATGAGAGCGAAAAGAAAACAACAATGCAATAAGATGAAAGAAAATATCAAGCTTATATAGAACTTATGAATATCATATAATTACGATGGTGGGTACACAGGTCCTTCTGGTATCTCTGGTTTTATCAATCTAAGTAAAGAAATATCTACACGTCGCTTTGAGGTCCTATTTGTCCTGTTCACAGCCAAATTTGAGTGCTTGAAATTCAGTATATTGTCAACGGATATGCCAATATCGTTTTCACTGTTGTCCTATTTTAGGTCTGCTTCTGTTGAAGTGTAGGTCCTTTTTGAGCTGCTTACAATTGCCTGGATAGAAACTTGATTGATATTTGTCCAACTGCTGTTGATGTTTGACAAGATCCTGTTGAAGATTTCCGTTCTTTCTCGTTTTGTTTCCTTGTTTATTTTTGCATGATGTGCAACGAGTTCCTCTTCATAAAGTAATTCATTGGTACCTTGTATAAAGGATAAATAGGGTTTGCACTAGGACGCTTCCTTGAGGTATTATGTGTGTAGCGTTTCTCCAGCCTGGGTCCGTATTCATGAAACCGTTCGCATGCTCAAGCATGGATTATATCGTTAGACCAACTTTCTTTTAACAATCGATAAAAAAATCAAATGTAAACATTGGAAACAGTATTCGGCGGCTTTAAGTCTCTTCATTTCCCCAAAGATTGTTGACAAAATCAGATTTTATTAATTTATAACCGGAACAAGAATTTAGGCTTCATCATAAAATACATGCTTGAGCATGAGAACGGTTTCATGAATACAGACCCAGATGTTTGTTTACCGATATATGCTGTTCTAGTGATGACATCCTTACGCCATTTATCGGACATTTCAGTTTTCCTAAAAGCAGAAGCATTCTATGTCGGATGGTGTCGAAAGCCTTCACGAGGTCCATGTACACATCATTCGAACACTTGCTCTATCTTCCAAGATCTCTGTCTTGGGTAGCTGGAGAACTGTAGAACATCCTTTGGCAAACCCAAACTGCTGATTTCTCAGGAGGTTATTGGTGCCTATAGGTTGTCAATAACCACTCCTCTGACACTCTGCTCAGTCAATTATTATAACACTTTTATTAAGCTCATCGGCCTATAGTTCAAACACGTCGTTTACCCGCCTTTACATAACAGGTGGTGAACCTGTTTTGTAGCCAACTACAGCGTTCAACATGATGATCTGGTAAAGATGATTGCAAAAGATTTTAAGAAAGGAGACCAATGGTACTACAATACCACTTCTATTTGTTTAGTATTGTTCACCTGTTATGTTGAAATTCAAAATCATTCATGCATAACATATTTCTGAATGTCATGTTACGAATTGAAAGTACCATCATTTATGTATGTTAACTTAAAAAGTTGTGTTTGCTTGGGATTTGAAAAGACATCGTCACATTTCTGAGATAGATTTATACAGTCGTCGTACAATAAACGTTTTTTTTAATGATAGTGTAGTGTATATGAATAAATACCCGTTATGGTGTTAATTATATATCAGCACACAAATTGGTTAATCACTCCTGTTCTCTGGCCAGAAAGTGATTGTCTTGAATACTGCGGTTTTTAAACTTCAATATTTCTGAAAACCCAGAAATGCGCTGCAAGAAGCTACCTGAAGCTTTCCATTGGTGTCGACAACTATATCAAGACTAGTTCGATCCTTTGTGTACATCAAAAGAATCTCGCGGTCACGTAACGGTAAAAAATGACGGGCTTTGAAGTCAGGCGTCTGTCGATCTTTGTAATCTTCGAAGGACACTGAGGTATCAGCCTAGCGATTGGTCTTTTTTTTTTTTTTACCTGAATTTATCTTCGTGCCTTCAATTTTGCTTCTATCAGAAATCTATCACAGCTACATGTACTTCAAGGGGTGCAGCGGAGAGAGAAAGAGAACGTAATTCCTGGAAATGCAGACCTTGAAAGTCTTTGCCAAGACTTGCCGTATTGCATATCAAATCATGATGCCCGTCCTCAATATTTAAAACGAAAAGCAATGGTCTTACCGGTTTGGCCGATATACTCTTCCGTAACTATTTCCGTCATACTCGACTCCGATTTTAGCAATCGTTCGCTTCCGGTAATCTAGCCTGTCGGTTTTAGTGGTTTAAGATGGCGGAATCAACCGCTAAGAGAACGATCGCGAGTGCCCAGACGAAGACAGGTCAAGTTCGCGAATTTTCATCAGATGAAGATGCTTACAAGTTCATATCTGATGAGGAATCTAGAACCTACAAGAAATATCAAAAACCCCAAACTGTTCCAAACTTTCACGGTAATAATGTGCAAAAATGTCGATATATCAGTGTAACTGTAAACGCTAAATGTTATCTACCCAAGTACTAACGCTTTCGGTTTGACCACAGGTGCTCGTTTCGATCAATAGATCATATGACAACAATCTTTATAAGATCGTTTCGTTATTGATAATGTGGTACGATAACACGACCATTTTAATGTTTTTTTTTTACTTATTATGCAGATTCTTATTTAAATATCTATTGATCGATACGTGCACTTGTGTATCTTTGGAGATTTTATAAGTGCAACTACTGACATGCATCTTAAGCAAATGGACTAGGCACACCATTTCTTAAGCTGATTTTCCCTAATAGGAAACCTTTATGGCTAATATTGATAATAAGAATACTAAAATATTCCCTTTCACTATCTTTTATCTTTTCTTTTCTTGGCCTAGCAACCACTATCACATGACATGATCTTCAAATAGATGAAGGTGGTCTTTACTATGTAGATGTCAATGTAAAAAAATAAACATTGTGATAAACATGATCATGATCATATCTATTATAGCTCAATGTGATATAACCTATTCAATATGCAATCAAATCAATTAGCAATGGTAGTATGTAATCAGAATATCTCTTATTGGTTATCATGCGATTTATTGAACAACTTTTGGTTGTAAACAATTAACTGAGTTGTGAATTATATCATTGTTATGTTTCAATTCGCTGTGCACATTTTTGTTATTTTGATAGATAATACATCTGGATGTCATATATGTTGGGATGATGTCAACAATTTCAGTCGATGTGGATCTAGTTTGTCATATGACGGTATTCCCTTCATTATTTTGGGGAATGAAGAAATGGCATGCATACAAGATCCTTGCAAGGGAAATCGAAAACGAAAATTAATGGTAATTATTACTGTATGTCGCATATATTTTAATGTAATGTTTTAGGGATAAATAATTCTCCTTAGACCAAAGAAAGAATTTGTTTCCGTAAATTTGTATATAGTAGTATGAACTTCCAACTGAAGGTCAATACTGAACAAGAATTCTCAACTGTTGTTCCATTATTAGTAACCTTCCAAATTAACATTTGTTCTTCCTGGTTTGGTCAAATATTAACTTCTCAACATGAACATATATGTATCACTACATTTGATATATTTATGGAAATTATTAACGATTATATTTACAGAGTGATGGTGATCACGATTATGGGGTACTGGAGAAAACAACCTGTCTAGCACGAGTTAAGATATGCAAGATTATCAAATTTCCCCAATTCAAGGTAGGTACATTGTTTATATAGCTGTTGAAGTGATGCATTTTAAAGATCCTTGGAAAGTAAAATATTTAATTATAATTTGATAGCTAGTATTTTAGTGAGGTTTGGAGACTATTTTATTTTTTGGGGGTTGTCAGAAACAATACTGAAAAGTCACAATAGTCGAAGTTGGTTAAAAATGAATAGATATTGGTCATCTTTTGAAGGCTTTTTATATATGTTTTGGATATGTACAATTAATAGAATCAACAAGGGAAATACAGTTGTTCTTGACTAACATTTTCAAGCCTTGTTGCAACCTTTAAGCTACTTTAATATCTAGGTTAGTATGACTTAATTTAATCAATAACTAAGAATTTTAACCTGCATAATCTTAAAGCTGGATCAGAAATGATAAGACAGTTTAAAGAGTAGTGGAAATTAACATAGGTTTCATTTCATTCACTGGATTGTCCTGAACGATTGATGTTGTGTTTTTTACCTTTACATTGGTCCTGGGTCCAGACTTTCTGATTGGCCAGTTGTTAATTAAAAAACCACTAACAAACTAGCAAACACTTTTCTTTTTGATACAGAATAAAGGTAGAGACACAAAAGGTATGAGGACAATTTTGTCTGAGAAACTGAAGGAACTTTTCAAACAAGAGACAACAGTAAAGGAGTACAAGGTGTTTGTGAGAATGCCAGAGGAGGATGAGCATGATTACACTCCTCCACCAGAAGTAGAAATAGAGGTATCTACACTCTTAATATCTTCAATAACTAGCACCTTATTTAGTTTATAGAACACCAAAGTTTCTACTTTAATCCAACAATATTATAGATTGGAGGCAGGGTAGTCTAGTGGTAGGATGCGGGGCTCGCGACAAAGGGTTACAGGTTTGCTTCACAGCATGGCACTGTGTTATATCTTTGAGCAAGATACTTTACTCCGCTTGTTCCAGTCTACTCAGCTGTAAATAGTACAAGGTTGGGCAGTGCTAGAATTGTTGAATGCTAGCTGTGAGTGTCATAATGGCAGCACCGGCTGTATGCTCCCCAGGTAGTTGAGAAAGATATTGGCTTGTTGCAAAGGCCCTATAACCACGGTTAATAATTTGTGAACCGCTTTGAGTCGACCTACGAACTAGATTTTGATAAAGCGATATAAAAGAACCTCAAATTATTATTAGCTCATCTGGTCCAAAGGACCAAGGTGAGCTTATGCCATACTGTGTCGTCCGTCTTCCGTTCGTCGTCTGTGCGTCAACAATTTCTTCAAATGACTTCTTCTTCTTAACCACTGATTGGAATTTAACTAAATTTGACTGGAAGCATCCCTAGGTGTTAGGTATTCAAAATTGTACAAATGGTAGGGTTAAAACCCCAGGGGGCTGAGGGGCGGGGCCAAAAAGGGGACAGTTTGGCTATATTGCTATAAATGACTTCTTCTGTAGAACTGTGCAATGGATATCAATCATATTTGGTCAGAAGCATTCATCATGGGAGGCGGGGATTCAAACTTGTACAAATGGTGAGGCTGAGGGCCTGGGCCAAAAGGGGGCAATTTGGCTAAATTGCTTTGAGCAACTTCTTCTCTACCACTAAAAGATGGACATCATCCATATTTTACTGGAAGCATCCCTAGGTAGTGGGGATTCAAAAGTGTACAAATGGTGAGGCTGAGGGCCTGGGCCAAAAGGGGGCAATTTGGCTAAATTACTATAATGACTTCTTCTGTAGAACTATGCACTGGATATTAATCATATTTGGTCAGAAGCATTCACGAGAAACGGGGATTCCCTTGGCTAAGGGGTGGGGCCAAAAATAGTTTATTGCTAAGAAATGGTTGAGATCCCCACCCTATAACCATATATACAATTGCTGAGCATGAACAGAAGAATGCACATATGCTTCCAGGATTGCCCAGGGTTCTAGCCCCACCCTTTGAGTCATATATATAGTCCCTGGGTCATAACTTTGAAACAGTTGAGATGCCCACCCCAAAACTGTATATACAAATGCTGGGCATAAAGGGACGAATGCAGTCATGATATAAGAATTGACCCCAGGGTCTGCCCACCCTTGGGGACTTAACCCCTGGGTCATAACTTTGAAAAGGTTAAGATCCCCACCCCAAAAACTATATATGCAATTGTTAGGCATAACAAGACGAACGCAATCATGATATTATAATTGATCCTGGGGTCTGGCCACGACCCTAGGGACCTAGTTTCTGAATCACACCTTGGAAACAGTTATAATCCCCACCCCATCACCATACATAAAATTGCTGGGCATGAAAAATCGAATACAGATATAATACAAGGTCTGGCCCATTCCCTTGGACCTTATTTGGTGAATATTTTACCATAATTACTTTTGATATCCAGGTGAGCGATACAGGTCATCTGGGCCTCTTGTTATTATCATTATTATTAATAGATGCCTTAAGCTTTCATTTTACGTTTCTTAGGTTCTATCAGTGCTGTATCTATCGAAAGAATATATCAATGTAATTGTGAAATTTGAAACTGAAATATTGACTGACTTGTGTCTATTAATAGGGCTCATTTAATTGAGTCAGGTTCACTTGGAAGTTAAGCTATCTGGTTACCCAAAATGGAACATTTCATCTTCAAGTCAGTTTAAGAAAATAACCCAACTGTCTTAATTTCAATAATTTGAATAACTTTAAAATGTAATTACAAAATGATTAACTTTCATCCTGTACCTCAAAGACTTAGTATATCATGCAGCATACATTATAAATTGTTTCAGAAGACAAAGCATTGAATTTATTTACTGAGAATTTCCTTCTAGGGTCCAGTTAAAATTCCATTAAATGATCTACTGAAGTCCCTCCCTAAGAAATTGTTAGGAAGCATGGTAAAACAGGAGCCGATTGAGGTTCAAGACACCAGAACTGATGCTATGACGATTACAGGAGCAAAGGAGAAGGTTGTGCAGAAGTGTGACATAGGGAATGTACAGGTAGGTTTAAGTACCTTTTATCATATACTTGCTTCGAAAAAGAGGATTTTTATATAATATGATATAGCAAATATCCTTGGGCCATAATAACCCCCTCACCTGTGCTACCCATTGTTGTACCCTTTTATCACATAGCTTGACCCTTTATGAAGTTGCACCCCTTGGAGACACCTCTTTTGAAGAAATTATCGAAACTCCTTGTTTTTCTCAACAGCATACTAAAGGGGAAATAGACCTGGCATCTACCTCACCAAGGAACATAGCTGCCACTGCTCTGGTTTCCATGAACACTGTATCAGCAATACCTAAACAAGTTTCCCTCTCAGCAATGTCTTCACAGACTACGTCAGAGTCTCAAGTGGCCACGTCATCAGCACAGTTGTTTCTGTTAGAAACACAAGGCCAGATTCCAAAGTATGTAATGTTAAACACAACACAAGTTGACGTGGGAGAGAGAGCGCCAAATACGATGACACCAGTACGAACTGCCCAGTCAGCCAAAAAGCCAAGAATGAGTTTTAATGGGAATAATGATGTGACAGGTGCAGTTGCGTTACCAGCAAGGACAGTGAAGCCAGTGCCTTGGAGAGGTATAGAGGGCAGCGTGACTGTGTCTGATACCTGTTTCTACACACAAGATAGAAATGTCATGGAAGAATGTATCCAGAAATATGAAGATGAAACATACAGTGTATTTCGCTGCAATAAAACCACAAACACTAAAGTTTCAGAATTGATAGGTAATAGTCGTATTATGTCTATTTTAGATGTTCAAAAGTGTTTATTTTCATGTTATAATTTGTTGGACCAAGTATGACTCAAATACGTTTTCAGTCTTCCGCTGGTTCCTGGGAGAGTATTATTGGTTTGTACTCATCCGTCCATCGGCAGTGTTTGCTAGGGGCATATCGTCTATACTATTTTACCTGAAGAAACCAGATTTTGTATGAAAGTACATCTTGGGATGACAGAGTGCCGAGTTTTAGAAGTAGGTCACTGTGACTTCTGTGTTGATAGGCTGTTAGAAATGTAATACAATAATAACGTAACGTTAATGATGCATGGTTGACATTACATCAATGCATTATTGACTTAATTACATCATACAGTCCTTATAACTGGGGAATTCCTAGCTATGTCTCAACCTGAGGGTGGGGCATAAGGATACCTCAGACTAGGAAAGGTGTGGATCCTGTTTAGGGTAAGGCCAAATAAAAATATAGCTGGGTTTCCTGTTTCCCGACCGACCCTATTTTTTCATGCCGACCCTAATACATTTTATTGGTTTTTCACAGTAATTACAATGCATTTATTAACTGTTTAATCATTCAAAGTGTACAGATAATTTGCTTTGCATTTTATTAGTATGGTCAGTGTCAGAGTTTTATTTGAAGATAGTAGCTAAGTAGCCATGAATATGGTATTAGTTATATCATAGGAACCGAGCAATATGTCAGTTAATGTACTGGAGGGGCAGGGCTACTTCTCGAGCGCATAGCGCGAGAGATGTAAGCTCCGCCCCTCGATTACGATAACTGACATATTGCGAGGCTTATGATGTAACTGACTTGTTGCATAAAGTGTCATGTAACAATTTAATAGATAAAGTTTGGTTATTATAAAAAAAAAGTTTGCAGCATGTCAGACTTCGTCTCAAAATCAAGGCCAAGTTTGGCATACGATGACTTTGACGACCTGGACGATACATTCATATGTCTCGGTTAATGACGCGCATTGAAAGTGACCCAGAAAACCGTACTGAAAAGTGTTAGTAGACCTAACTCCTGCCTCTCTCAGCGATTAAAGATGAGCCAGAGGAGGAATAAATACCTGTTAAAAGCCGCTTCCCGGATCCCGTTGGAAGGAGAAAATGGTATACAATGAGGGCGCTAAATGTCAAAATAGTAATAAGCCTACTTATGTAAATATTACCCGGTAACAAGCCTACAGAAAAGTACAAGGTCCTATTAACTGATATTTATAATATGGCCAGTGTTTCACAATTGCCTTTTGTCTTTTAATTATAAGACGGACTAGTTCATGCTAAAAGTTGTAAGTTACAAACGGAAAAAAAGATAGACTGCGGAACCTGGAAAGGTGAAATTTGCTAGATCAAAGGGAAATTGACATATCTATGCGACAGTTGTGGTTATGATATAGGTTGGGATCTGTAGATTAGTGTGACTGTCTGGGGGGGGGGGGGTCCAGTCTGTGATGTCATCAGTGTTTGTGCCTTCAGCTGGTGCTGACCCCTAGGCCTGGAGACAAATTTAGCAGGATTTATGGCCAGTTTAACCTAGTCTATTTAGGTCGAATTTTAGCAGGATTTCCGCAGCATCAACAATTTTAATTTATCAACATTTTTATTGTAGCAGGATTTAGCTAAGGAGTAGATAGTAAGGTAGTTCAGATTCGGAGTCGAAGGAGGAGAAGAGAGTTGGGTTGGGGAGTCTGAGGAAGGAGGTTGAGTTAGGGAGACAGAGTTGAGAGGTCAAGAGATGCTAAAGTGAGAATTAGGAAGTTAGTTATAATATCAGTTTTAGCTGTAGTTTGTAGATCTGTGTAGTTTTACAGTTTATAGTTAGAGATAAGTTTGGAGATTAGAGATTGAGCTCGCAATAGTGAAGACTTGTATATTTTATGGTGGATTAAAAATCTTGTGTTGTAAATATAGTGTAAATATAAATGTACTTATTTTGTTGTTCAATTAATTTGAACTGGTGGCAGTGGAAATTGAGAACAGAAAGCATCAGTAATACAAAAAAGAATGTAACACTGGTGACCATCAGTGGAGTTTGGATTTCTAAAAACTAGCGTCCAACAGTACTAGTAGGGATAACTTGGAAAAGTGGTAGCACTACTGTAAATTACGTTGGTTATTCCATAAATATTTAGGTGGGTCAAATAATAATTTACTTCAGTAAGTCGTTTGGGCCTGCTCAACACATAAACTAGGAATGCATCTGTGTATTTATATTACATGAATCAAAAATTACATATTTGGTGCCTTTTATACTTTACTAAAACAATAACACATCTTTAACATTCACAGAGGTAATCAGGAGATTTTCTTCACCAGAAAAAAAATAAAATAAAAAAATATAATAAAATGTTTTTCCTACCTACCTACCCTATTTGTTTTGAGCGGAAACAGGAAACACACATATTTTTTTATTTGGCCTCAGAGAAATTACTGTGTTAATTCAGCTTTTGTTTCAACCCTTTCACCTGGATTAACTTTTATAGATTCTTCCATACTTTAATCTGGACAAGTCCATAGTTGGTCTATAGGAGTGTAAGGTTTAAATATGATTTAAATTCTTATTCCAGAGGTATCAAGTTTGGACAATCATCGTGTGCGATGGTGTCCTCTCAGTGAACAGTGGAAGCCCGCCGACTATGTGCCTGATAATATCCCCTACTTGGTATTGAGAATAGAAAGTCGAATGTGTCGCTTCAGTAGCAAGCTCAGATCGAGTAAATCAAAGAAATTGAAGAAGAAGGAGTGGTGTGTGTCATGTAACAGACCACCAGAGGAGCAGAAGGTGGGATATTGTATACATCATTTAAGTCATATAGAGAAGGTACAGGTACACACACAATCAATAATGAAGTTATAATGCTTATTGTATATACCTACAAAGTAATTGTGGGATATGTTATTATTTTCCAGTCATCAAACATCAAAAGGAATGTTGGAATGCCACTGGCCTATCCTTCAGATCCAGAGAAACACAGTTGATGGGATTAATGTCCTCTCTCTTGGGCTTCTTATCTCTGTGACTTTTATACCAATATATTCTTTTTTTCTTTTCATTGAATAAACTTTTCTTCCACTACATTTTTAGAGTAGCACAGATGTATGTACCTGCAGACTTCGTAAGACACAGAAGCCAATGCAGAAAATGCCTTGTCCAGCTGTTATTGCCATACACACCATCATCAGATATTCAGATTTCAGGGTAAGAAAGCATTGTCATATTTACACCAGGTATATATATCCCCATTTGATTTGGATATAACATAAATTAAGATGTTATATGAAATTATTGAATAGCCAGCCACAGGTTTTTTGATCTCTTTGACCTCAATTTCCTAAAAAAAATATCTTGTTAGTATTATCATACTTTTCTATAATTATGAAATGAAAGTAGGTGAATAAGTGATATATGAGGCATCAGAATTCTATTATTGCTCTGTGACCAGGGCCATCGTATTTTTATGAGAACAGGTATTCCAGAATATACATTTTTTTTCATGCAATAAATACTAGAAATTTTATCTGATGTTGATGACCCCTTATCTGATGTTGATGACATATTATCTGATGTTGATGACCCCTTATCTGATGTTTATGACATATTATCTGATGTTGATGACATATTATCTTATGTTGATGACATATTATCTGATGCTGATGACATATTATCTGATGTTGATGACACCTTATCTGATGTTGATGACCCCTTATCTGATGTTGATGACCCCTTATCTGATGTTTATGACATATTATCTGATGTTGATGACATATTGTCTGATGTTGATGACATATTATCTGATGTTGTTGACATATTATCTGATGTTGATGACATATTATCTTATGTTGATGACATATTATCTGATGTTGATGACCACTTATCTGATGTTGATGACATATTATCTGATGATGATGACATATTATCTGATGTTGATGACCCCTTATCTGATGTTAATGACATATTATCTGATGTTGATGACATATTATCTTATGTTGATGACATATTATCTGATGTTGATGACCCCTTATCTGATGTTTATGACATATTATCTGATGTTGATGACATATTATCTTATGTTGATGACATATTATCTGATGTTGATGAAATATTATCTGATGCTGATGACATATTATCTGATGTTGATGACCCCTTATCTGATGTTAATGACATATTATCTAATGTTGATGACATATTATCTGATGTTGATGACATATTATCTGATGTTGAAGACCCCTTATCTGATGTTGATGACATATTATCTGATGCTGATGACATTATCTGATGTTGATGACCCTTATCTGATGTTGATGACATATTATCTGATGTTGATGAC